TTATTGATTTCATAAAACGTCATGCATATGCACGTACACATAACTAAAAAAACAAATTACCATTTTTCGATCTCATCACTAATTTTGTCTATCTAAAATTCTTAAATTATCGTGATATAAAAGATTAGTACATAGATATAAATAATTTAAAAGTTAAAAAGATAGAAATAAATTAAAAATTAAAATATTATTTGGAATGATATATTTATTTTATTCCTTTTTTAAGTAAAATGATATATTGAATATAATAAGAATTTGACTTATATATTTGTACTAGTTAAAGTACAAATGTTTGATAACACCTAGTGGATAAGACTTGTAAATGACTTTAAGGTTGTTATGATATTTCAGGTTAGCTCATGTAAGGTGAGAAGTTATTGTATCTGTATATTCTCTTTAAGTTATTGGTTAGCTCTTTATGTATTATGATACTGATATATTTATAGTCCTAGGAGTCTGAATCGAGTCTTCCTATAATATAGAAACTACCCCATGAATGAGTGGTGGATTCCTTTAAATCTAGGAAGTGTAGGTAAATCTCATTGTTATACCCCAAATATTTTCCTCCCATTTTTCAAAGACAAATTGATTCAAGGTGCTCAAGTACTCAAGACTACTCAAGAATTGATCAGATGAACCCTCCTCCTAAGCAATGACCTACAATTAGGGTTTTGGTTTTCTCAGAGGAAACTGGACTTCTAATATCCCAAGTGGATTTCATGGTTCCTCATATACTTCAAAGAAATCTCATATCAAGTTTCAAGCCTTACATCACCAATTTGCTCAGTCAATTGTTCAGATGATTGAAAATCAACTATATTGGGTAAAAAGTCAATTGTGGTCAACTTACAGTCAAACCTAAATATTTCTTATCAACATTAATATTTTGAACTCGCATTCATCATTTGATCAAAGGTTGACCATATTCATCAAGAAGACTCAAGATTCATCAAAAGTCAAAAGTTGCTAAATTAGGGTTTTCTTCAGGAGAAGTCAATTGAATATTGACCAAGCATAACTTTCACATGCTTCATCATAAAATTCTCAACAAAGCTCATTTTGAATTAAATTCAATTCTTTACAACTAGGTCGCTCTAAGCTCAAGGACAAAAAATGCTTCATTTGAGAGATATGGGCCAAAACATTATAGGTCATTTTAAAAGTCAACAGAAAGACACTTTTTGTCAAAGAAATTTACATCAAGATAAAGGATTCAAATGAAAAAATGATCAACATGAGAGTTGTAGGGGACATATTGAAATTTCCAAAAAGTCTAAGATCATTTTCATATGATAAAAATTGAGAGAGTTATGAGTTGCACAAGTTGGGCAATTTTGAGAAAATGCATGAAACCCAAATTGAGTAAACTTGAATTTTTGGGCTAATGGGCTTATCTTTCAAGGTCCAAACGTGTTCCTGACCTCATAATAGACTCCTAAATTCATTCATTTATATTTATGGTTTTTATTTCTTTTGATTTTGATTTTTATTCATTTAAAAGCAAAATAAATTAAATAAAATTTCAAATATATGATACAAGGTGTGGGGATCTATTTTGATTCAAATCATGAGTCCAATATCATTTAATGATGCTAAAAAATCATGAGGGATTATGAAGATTGGATTTGGCACAAGATTGAGCTCAAAAAGATATGTTTCCATGCAAAAAAATCAAATAAAATATTTTGTCATGAAATACAAAGATTTGATTCATATTTGTTGACCTAATTCATGGCCTATAAATTGAGAACACATTTAGACCATCAAGATCACGGAATTGCCTCCAAAGAAGTCTCAAGAAATCACAAAAATTCAAGAAAAAGTGAGCAATCGAATTCCAAATTCAAAGCAGTTTCAGTCCAAACCAAAGCCAGCAATCACTTCCTAAGGATCAAAGGAGTTGATCCAAGTCATTTTCTAAGCAATTCCACGTCTAAAACAACCACTTCCACGCATCGCCAGTTTCATGTTTTTTTTTGTGAAACTCATAATTTAATATTCATGATGTTTTGATTGAAACTAACAATTCTAATGTGTTCCTGAGATGAATTAATACAGGTTTCACATATATTATGCAGCGCCTATTCTCAAACACCAACGAACGCTGGGCTTAATGGCAAGCAATGCAGTAAAAAGCCAGGAGGGTGTGGGTTCAACATCCACCCCATGCAATTTTTTTCCTTCTATTTTTGTCTTAACCTAATTTCTTTCCTTTTTCTCTTTTCTAACCTTATTTTTTTTAACTAACCAATTATTAAACTAACCTAAATTATTTACTAATAAATTAAGATTAGGTTTTTTAAATAATATTTAATTTTTATGATATGTTAAATTAATTAACATTTTTCTTAAATATTAAAATTAATTAGAATTAGGGATCTTTTAATCAATAATCAATTTTGACATTAGGCAAATTAATATTTTCTTAAATATTAAAATCAGTTGGAATTTATGTTTTAATTACTATTATCATTTAAATTATTTTCTATAAAAATACAAAAATACAAACTTAGGTTTTATAACATTCAAACATTTTTCTAAATATTTTCTTATTTCTTTTTGCTATTTATTTTCTTAGAAAAGGGTATAGGTTGCACTCTTTAATTGTAATAGCTTAGATTTATTTTCTCGCACTTTTTCTCTATTATGTATCTGCTCTCAGGATGTAATAGTGTAGGTTTTATTTCCCGCATTTTTATACTTATGTAACTGTCCCGGAGCATTTAATAACTTAGGTTTACATTCCACATTTTTTTCTGCTCTTATATTTTTATCCAATTGCTAGTAACTAGGTGTCATACCCCAAATTTCCCTACTTATTCCTAATTTTTTTTATTCCTATTTCTAAAAATTACTTTACTTTATAAAATATTATTCATATTGTTATGGGAGTTTAGAATTTTTAAAGAGGGGTTTATCTTATAAAGAAATCAAATGGCCTTTCTAAATCAGAAAAGCCCATGTAAGTTTTTTTGAGCCAACTGCATTTTCGGGTATGATTTTGTTTAGGTTTCAGCCCATTTTAAATATTGAAAGGAGTTACACTATTTTGAAAAATCATGGTCCTTTCTAAATCAGAAAGGGCCCATGTAATTTTTTTTTAGTCCATTTCAAATATTAAAAAAGGGGTATATAAAGCAATTTATTTTCTTGTTAAAGCCCAATAAATTGAAATGGTATGACCCAATTCAGTTTTTGGTTTTCGTTTTTAAAAAAATGTTTTGTTTAAATTATGACATTTTTATTATTATTATTATTATTATTATTATTACTATTATTATTATTATTATTTTTTACATTATTATTAACCTATTATTAATCTTACTATTTTTATTATAATAAAAACATAAGCAAATATGTACATTAACTTTCCAGAAACAATATCGTACCAAAACATAAGCTAGGTTAATGCACATAATCAAAACCTATTGCAATGTTCAGACAAGATTATTACTAATATAGAAACTAATCAAGGATATCACAGATTTACAGACAAAATCAAATTCCTATTCAAAGCGTGATTAAAATCATATAACAAATTACAGACATATTAATCTATTTCCTAATATACTAGACTCCTAAAATACTATAAAACCTAATTGTTAAAACATAACAAAGAAGAACAACAAAAAAATCGAGAGGAAAGAATTACAGAGAAGAAAATTTTAGAAGGAGGAAATTTCGTAACAAAAGAAGAACAGAGAAGTCTCGCCGTTGTAATCCCTGTTCACCGCCGCCTAGGGTTTCAACATCTGAAACCCTAGATCCAGTCATCCCGCCGCCACCATCAAATCGCCACCTTAATGATCATCACCGACTGTAATACCTCAAATTTGTCCTACCCCTTTTACTTTTATTTGGCTTATGCAGTTCTCATCTCTTGTACGTAGCTCCTGTTAGGTCATTTTGCACGTCATGCATCATTGGTCAATAATTTGGCATGAGATTGAGGATATTGAGGAATTAGGGTTTCTTCGTGCTTTTAGGCTCTCATCTTTATGCAAGTTTAGATCAACATGGTTCTTCATCAATCAAGGTTTGAGGGATTAGAGTTCGTGTTTTTGGTCATTGGGAATTTCCTCTTTTATCAAGATAATCATTTTCATCAAAAGATAAAGCCACCTTTTCAAGTTACTCCAGTGAGCAAACGGATTATGGTTACGAGTTGTTAGGGTTTACATTTCATCATGGTTGAGTTTTCTAAATTCAATTGAAGATTCATTATGCTCCAGGAATCATTCTTTCTAATACTTGTTGCTTGGCGTACAAGTTTGGTATGAATTAGAAGATGGAAATGAATTAAGGATTCATTGAAGATGTAAGTGAATTTGGTGTAAGAATTAGATTTCAAAGGGGTTATGTCATTACTTGGATTGCAAACCATTATGCAAGGGAGGGAATAGGGCTGAATCAAGTTGCTATGGATGAAGACTTTACTTACAAGGGAGTCATACATTTGAATTAGGGTTGTCTTATTGGTGGCACAAGCTAGTGGTGGGCCTAATACACCATGTCACTCGGGACCGGTGTTTCCTCATTGATTATGAAGGTCTTTATTTCAAGTTCAAAGGGAGCACGTGGAATCAATGTTTGACGAATTCTTATGGAAGTCCCTTTCATTCTTACCATGGAGTGTTTGGCATTACAAGAATAAGGGAATCATAGTTGTGCTTGGCACTTACACCACTAAAGGAGTATTAAAAGTTAAATTCCATGAAAAATATAAAAGACAATACTATGAGCGTTGAGCGCTTGAGAAAATTGATATTGAATTCAAGAGATTTCGTGCTCCTAATTTCACCACACTACAGAACTGTCGGCAGAGTTCAATTTGAAAGAAAAGAAAGAAATAAGTGAAGCTTATCCATTAGAATCCAAGTTCCATACACGAGTTATTCAAGAAGAAGTACACAAATTAAAAGAAGCTTTTAGAAGGAAAGGATTACAAGAAACTATACTACAAAATCTGAACAATAAATTGTTAAACATCATATATAACTTCATGATTCTTCCATGGTCTTCATGCCCCTGACTTTTATCCTCTTGATTAAATTTTCATTCTTCAAGGCCAAACTTCTTCTTGATTCAATGATATTCCAGTTTTCCAATGACCTGAATATTAATTCATATAAACTGCATCAGTAAACAAAAAACAACCTCTGCACCAAACAGAAGCAGTTTCTATAAACTACAAACCCCACCAAGCAATATGTGTTCAAAATTAAAACAAGGCTAGCTTACTAATAGATTTAGGGTAATAGCTCGATAACAGGAAACAAAAGAGAGAATAAAAAACTACCAACCATTAATGGTTATGCAAAATTAGTCATGCAAAATTAGTCAAAGCTGACTGAAACTGCAACCCCGTATCAAGTACCAAACAAGTTGCTGCCTGAAGAATATAAAACCAGAAAATAGAAAATACATATGAAGAGGAAAAGATGCAAGCCGTGAATTACCATAAATCATGAATAAAAATATATCAGTATAGAAATTCCTGTCAACTAAATTCCAAACAGTTTTTAACAATCCCTAACGAACTTCTAACAAAATTCATCTAATTGAAAAAGCCAGCTCACCTGTAACTGTCATGTAACAGAAAAAACTAACAATCATTCCTAACAGAATTTCACAATAGAATCTAAAAGGAATATAACATAAAAAGAAAAGGGAGAAAAATATACGATTGATATAACTGAAAGTCACCGAAAAAGAGGATACTCACTTCTCAATCCCACTCTCTCGAAATTTTTATTAAGTCTTCATCATCTTCAAACTTCTTCAACTTTCAATTCTGAGAGAATCACCATTTTCTTAACAGATTTCCTCTTCAACCTCCAACCATATTCTCCAGATTTCACGATAAAACCCTGAAAATATTCTCTCAGCACTCTCTCTTCATCACACCTCTTTCAATCTTTGACAACTTCACCTTCTCTGGATTTTCTTCTCATATGTAATGACATCTTCATACTTCATGGTAACCTTCTCTCAACCGACATCAAGAGGATCGATCTGTCAAAACAAAGATCGCGAGAGAACGATAAGGAAGAAGAAAGAAACTAAATCACAGAAGCAATAGCTCTTCACGATTCAAGCCAGCGGAAGTGGAAGAAGACGAGAATTCAGAATTGAGCGAGAAGAAGAATACGAGTTGAAGACAAGACGAGATACCTGAACGTTGAAACCTTCATTATAGCACACCTCCGTCTCTATCGCCGTCGGGAGGTATGTGAAAACTTTTTCGTTTCTCCAATATCTTGATACCACTGCATAAAGCAAACCTCCCCGATCATTTCCCCTAAGGCTTCGCCGTGAGATCATCTACCATGGACATTTAATTTCTACTTCCAAAAAGCTAGGTTTTTCCTCTGAGATTGCAAAATTGTGAGGGTTTCGTGTAAAAGCAGTGGAATAGAGGTTTGAGACGGTGATGAAGGTTGAGCGCCCCTGACGTTGACGAGATGAAGAGGCAGAGAGACGATCGGAAGGATAGGAGTGGCCGCCGTTGCGCAAGGAAGAGGAAGAAGAGGGTTTGTTTCGTTACAGCTCAAAGGATATATGTAACCCTATCCATTCTAAAAGGCATCATTTTACTATTAATTCTAATTGGGCTAATATGTGTATACTGGTTAAGTGGTGTTTGAAAACAAAATTTTGAGGATTTTTCTTAATGGATCAACTCATTGGACTATGAACCTAAGCATGTGTTCCCATTAGGCCCATAGCACTCTGTTTTTGGCACTACTGAACTTTAGCTGAACAAAAACTCCTTCTAGCGCCCCTTGCTGGTTTATACCCCTGATACAGCTTAACACCCCCCGACTTCCCTATTCTCCTGTTATATCTTTTTTAGTTTTAATTTCTTCTTTCTTTTCTTTTATATGGTAAAAATGTAATAAAAAAAATGAAAATGAAAAATAAAAAATATAATAGAATATATTAGAAATTTCTTAGGAATTAGTTCTTTAAATTTTTTAGAACTTTCCTTACATAAAAACTAATAATAAAATACTCTTCTCTTTTAGTATTTTAGTCATATTTTTTACACTTTTGTGCCTCGTTATTTTGACGCATTTGTTCATTATGCAAGATACATCCTTTTTGCTTTCGATCACGTGACATAATAAGTTGTCATGTGATATAGACATACGACTTATGCTCGCTTCTGATGCGATGTGCCTTATTTCTCATCATCCTGAGAAATTTATATTATATTATATGTGGTCCTGATACATGTGATATTTTACGAGCTTTGTGCAAGAACTTCTGGTTACGCGTTGCATTCCCAACACGCGCTTGCTTTTATCTTAGTTGGATATCATTTCTGACTTTGTTTGTTTCTTGGTGAAGCTCGCTCGACACGTACTCCCTGCTTCTCCATTGCTTTCTTCCGCTCTTGACGATTTGCTCGCTTTGGTAGTCGCCTCTACTACCTTCATACTTCTTCGCATATTACTACATTTATTTACCGCTTTTCTAGATATCATGAGAAGTACGACTTTATTGCTTTCTGATGCCATGAGAAGTAGGGTAGAGATGTATGATGAGGGTATCTGTTGTTGATCATGTTAGGAACCCCTCTGGTTTATTTAAAGACTCGTTTAGGGCGATTCCGCATTATTTGCCATTGTGTGCTACTTGTGTGTGGTTTGTTTAAAACTCCACCTTTGAGTAGGTATTCTGTAGGTGTGTTTATATTTGTGCCCGCACTATTCCCCATCTCTTATTGAAGTCCTCAAAAGGAGGCGAGCAGGGAGGGTTAGCAATCAACCCCCGCAATTTCGTCTGTGTCATCCTTAGCTCGTGACGAATCATGAAGCTTCAGAGTTGTGCCTACTCTTGTGTATTGAGTCGTCAAGTGGGGAAGGGTTCAGCAATCAAACCCCCATGTTTTGTCAAGAGTTCGCATTGGGCGATGCTGATACTCTGTGATCGTTCATATTGTCTTCATTCGCTTACCTCAATCTCTTATATCTTGGTTAGGTGTTCAGTCTCTTTGGACATCACATTTTTGTTTCTTCATCTCACTCTCGCTTGTTCATCTCGGGTGATACGCTCCCCTTGACTAAAGCATTTCTCTTTGTTTCCTTACTCTTTTATGTGTGTGCTTCTTCAATCTTGCTTGTTTTATCCTTGTACATACCATGTTCCCTTAGGACGTGCTTGCTCCTTTCGGATGCAAGTTAGACCTTAGGATGCAAATCATACATGCTAACATTAGGTATGCATTTCCCTTTCATCCTTGATGTAGGGCTACCATTGTATGATAACATTAGGTTAGAAATAGGCTAGTCTCCCTTAGGCTCTTTTCTTCCCCTTTTGCATATGCATCCAAAACTACAACCTTTTCCTTAGCAAACCATAAAACATGCTAAGCACACTCAAACCCTTTTTCAAGGTAACAAAACATAAACCAACTCAAACTTTTTTATGCGCCCAAGCACCTTTTCTCTAAAACTCTTTTCAGGTAAGGACATGATTAATTTACTTTTGTGCCAACGCGTAAGTCTCCAAAGGTCGAGCTGCGACAAAAGGCGGAATTAACATTGTCCATAAAAAATACAAAACAAACAAAAACATGTTAGCCGAACTACAGTAGCTCTGATTCCTCAAAAAGGATACGTAGGCATTGGGGTAGGGCCCAAGCGAGTACAATTTTATTTCCCCTACATTATTTTCTTCTTTATTTTGCATGCATTCTTCCTTAGCATTAAACAGTAAGCATAGATTAACACACCCGTAAGATAGATAACAAGAGTGGATACCGTAGATTACTACGGGCGTGTGGGGTGCTAATACCTTCCCCTCGCGTAACAGACTCCCTTTCCTGATATCTCGGTCGCAAGACCGTGACTTCTCCCTTCTTAGTTTTTCTCGATGTTTGCCTTTCCCTACATGCGGGATAAAAAATGTTCGATGGCGAATTCATTGTTTGATGATTTTCAGCCGATTGTTTCATCGACTTCCACCTGTGAATCAAAAAGAGAGAGCTTAGGAAGGGAACTGAAACAAAGAAATTTAAGGCGCCGAAAGGTAATCTCTAACTTAGCTTGATGGCTAATTGATTCTTTACATGCCCCCAGTTTTACTAACGCATTCAAAAATATACCCCGTTGTCTTATTTGGCCTAAATATAATATATGAATTCAAGACCCTAATATCTGCACCCCCATTTTTTACTACCCTAACCTAATTTAACCTCCCATGCATTTTTGTTTTATTTCTTTTATTTAAATTTATTAATTTTATATTTTCTATATATATATATATATATATATATATATATATATATATATATATATATATATATATATATATATATATATATATATATATATATATATATATATATATATATATATATATATATATATATATATATATATATATATATATATATATATATATATATATATATATATATATATATATATATTTATAATAGTATTTTTCTAAAACTCATTCAAATATATTTTATTTATTGCAATAAATTATTTTTTTAATCATGCATTTAAATAAGATATTTTCTATAATTAATACCTAAGAAATATTTAACCAACACCAAACATTTTCATAAATAAATTAATTCAATAATTAATTTTCGAAAAGGATTACAAAGCATATTTTAATTAACTGTGTGCTTTGTCTAAATATCTTCGCTATTCACACACCTAGACCAAGTATGTGAGAAATTCAAATATCTTCGTAATCCATAAAAAAAAAACCAACTGTGAACTACGAAATGAGACTCTGATTCCTCCTAAGAGGATACGTAGGCATGCGATTAAAATCATGGCGAGTTCCCATAATAAAAATTAAAACCATATTTCCTAAAATTGCGCTTCTAAACCTAGTATCCTTGTGAACAAGGTAGATGAGGGGTGCCTAACACCTCCCCCTTGTCTAGAACCGAGTCAGACCTAAAATCTCTGAACTTTTTTTAGGGTTATTCTTTTATACTCCCTTCCTTAGGATAAAAATTAAGGTTGGCGGCTCTGATTTAAAAATCAGTTACAACAGTTGGAGACTTTGCTGGGGACTCAACCCTAGGTTTAAAAGCTTGTCTTTTGGTTTTAGGGTTCTTCTTATTTTATGAGTTTATGTGACGACTTCGCCTAGAGTCGGTGGAATTCTGCAAAAGGAATACCTCTTAAGAGACATCATCTTGGGGAGTAGGACTTTGGAATAACATCTATGACTCTTTGTATAACCCTTAAATCAAAATCTCATGATGAGACCTTTCATGACCTAGAGACGAAAGTTTCTGCCTGTAAAGAGGCTCCACTTAAGGGAGGCCCTTATGTCTTTCCATCTAGTGTTATTCATGATACCCTTAAGGAAACCACCTTATGGGGATGGTAGAATATCTATAGGCCAAAACTAGGAGCCTACCTTCTAAGGATACCTTTCACAAATCCCACTACAATATGTAAACCTGCAAGGTTTATCTTTTTTTCCACTACTATCTTTAGGACTTCTGTCTATGTCATAATTCCTAGCCTGTGGGGATTCCTCGTCATTTTTTATTGGCCGTAACCATTAACGAATTTCTACCTGTCTCAATTTATGAGATAATGTATGATGTCACCACACCTATGTCTATTATTATCTTCATCCTTAAGGAGTTTCTGCCTGTCTAAATCTCTAAGTCAGTGTAGGATATCATCATGTCCATCATTAAACCTATATAGGGTACCCCTATGTCTACCATCATACTACGTCTACATCGCATTGCATATCCATGAAACTTTTTGCGTGCCTAAAAGCCAAAAATATTTTTGCGTACCAAAGCATTTTCATGCATTTTCATTTTCATCCATTTGCACAAAGTTCATATCATTTACACTTCCACCCTTATCCAACTGTGATCCAGCTAGTAAGATTCTCGATATTTATAAACAAACTCAAAGAATGTCTCAAGAGGCCATGGAGGAACTCAAAAGAGGCCAAGAACTATTGAAGGAGGATCTTCACCAGTTGAAGACTCAAATGAACTTGATCATGCAATTATTACTAAGGAGTGAAGGTAACCCTACGTCATCCCAGCCAGAGGCTTATTCAACACAACAGATGCCACCACTACGGAAAGTTCCCCCACCTCAACAACAACTACTACAATCCTATCAACAGAAGGGATATGCCCAACATAGGGGAAGACAAAAATTACCACCAAGGAGATTTGATCCACTTCCCATACCGCATAGTCAGCTACTACAACATTTACTCAAGGTATCTTTGGTAGAGAAGAGGTTACTGAATCCTCCGAATGGGACACTCCCGCCTAAGTATGATGCAAATGCCTGGTGTGAGTATTACGCCAA